GCTGGTCTGGGAGGAGGGAACAGATGACTCTGGGGACAGGGGTGGGGTGGGGCTGCAAAGCCTGCCCTGCCATTACTGGTTCCAAATTGGACTGGGGATCTTCGGAAACCAGTAACTCCTCAGATTCCTCTAGGAAGAGGAGCGGCAGTTCTTTTGGCACCTCTGGAAGCTTTGGTTCCTTGCCTGCCTGGAAGGCCACTGGAGGAGGGACGGTGGCACTGGTTATCGTAGACGAGGTTGTAGACGTGGTGGTCATGATGACGGTGCTGCTACCTAGCCTGCATAGCTTCACAGCCTTCTTCCCCTTGGATTGTTCCTGAAGGAATCCCTTCATTTTCTACTGCCTGTCTAACAAACCAACTAAACAAATAAAGCAATGGAGATTGAGGAAAGCAACTAATACAGGGTCAGAGAGTGTGTGTAAATTTTATTTTTAGAATGAAGTTGGTGTAATTCTTTTACTAAAATGTGACCTGGCTGCCTAAACAAAGTCCCCTCTCCAGTATAATGTAGTTAGGAAAATTTCTGCCCCCGACCCACTGTGGCAGAGAAGTCAAAAAAAGTCCCAAAAGAAAAGCCCTGACAGCTAAGTCTCAGTCAGAGAGACACAAACAAACACAAACACACACACACCCAAATAAGTTTTAGAAGAAAAAGGAATGATGGATCCAGCCACCCACCCACCAAATTCCCTGAGAAACACAAGCCTCCCTAAAATGAACTTTTGAAAACTGAATAATCATCCCACCTAGACACGCACATGCACACACAACCAATTTGGGGAAAGGAAAAAAAATGATCCTCCTAAAATAAACTTTTGAAAACTGAATATAAAGGAAAAGAGATTCCACAATCACACGATAAGAGTTCCCCCCCACCGGACCACACACGCATGCACGCACGCACATGCACACGCACAAACGCACACGCACACACCTCTCTCCAGGAAAAAAAAGGTTTGATTGATTTGAATTTGAAATAAAATTAAGCCCTTCCTTCCAAAGGAGTAGCCTAAGCTACCTGAAATCCTCCACAAATTCCCAGTAAAGCTGATGATGACTGATGAATGATGAATGAAAAAGAAAAATATAAATCTTTGCTTTGCTGCCGCAAAAGCGAAACCGCAAGAGCACCAGCAAGCCAGCGAGCGAGCAAGTGTTCTCACTCCAGACAGCATGAACAGAAGTGGGGAACGGCCAGATGGGAAAAACTTATATGAAGCATCTATAAAACTAGATACACCTTTCAGCAGCACTGTTTTAAGAAAGGAAGAATTTACATTTTCCTAGCCATATTTGAATTAAAAGCAAACTGAGTTCACCCAAATGTTTCTCCTAAGACCAAGGCATACAGATCAAAATAAAATGTTGTAACATCATTAGTTAGCTATGTCAACAAGCAGATGGACATGCACAATCTATGGCTAAGAAAATGCATAGTACAGAGGAATCACCATGTACTGGATGTGGTTACACTCTCCCTGAAAAGTCAGATTTGCAGGTCTGGTGTGCTCCAAAATTCAATCCTGAACAGATCTCAGTGGTGGCCTGGAGTACATTTGTGTAGTTAAAGCTGGTGCAACCCCTTGTGCCTGTTACACAAGATGTCTGATCTGGCCATGGTAAAATATGTGTTATGTACTTCCTGATTGGATTACTGCAACATGCTGCACATGGGAGTGCTGTTAAAGAGTGTTTGGATAATTAACCTGGTTCAAAATGTTGCAATTGGACTGCTGACTGGCAGTAGCAATAAGGAGCAAGTAGATGCCTTGTTACAATAGCTTCACTGGTTGCCAGTCTGTTTCTGGATCTGGCCATGGTAAAATATGTGTTATGTACTTCCTGATTGGATTACTGCAACATGCTGCACATGGGAGTGCTGTTAAAGAGTGTTTGGATAATTAACCTGGTTCAAAATGTTGCAATTGGACTGCTGACTGGCAGTAGCAATAAGGAGCAAGTAGATGCCTTGTTACAATAGCTTCACTGGTTGCCAGTCTGTTTCTGGGCCCAATTCACACAGGTTGGCAGTCTGTTTCTGGGCCCAATTCAAAGTGCTGGTTACAGCCTACAAAGCCCTATATGGCTTGGGTCCAGTCTATTGGCTTTTAAGATCTTTGGGTGGGGAGGGGCTGCTCTCAGTTCCACCACCTCCCCAAGCTCATCTAGTGGGAACACAAGAGGCAGGCTTTTAAGCAGTAAGTGGGGGGGTGTCCTAAGAAATGATACATTTATTGAACTTACAAGATGTTTTAATTTTTAAAAAAATGTTTGTATGGTAAGTTTAATATTGATAGATGTTTCTTTAATATAGTTTCTTGTAGTATTTTTAACTGTGCCTATTGTATAGTTCAATTGTTCGTGAACCACTTTGGAAAAAATAAAATTAAAAATGTAAGAACATCGCAATTTGACACATCCTAATGACAACCCTGAAAATCACAAGGCAATTTTCATTCTCTAGATAATAAAGGCACTGCTACCTTTGAAGCCACAGGAAATCACGACTAAATTGAGATTCCAGTTTATCTGTCAGAAGACAAGTATGCTAAAAGGCCCAGAATAATGGTCAATACAGGCCATACATAACAGAAATTGGGAGGACTAGAATAACTACATGTAGGTGAATCAGGACACCAAACAGACAAAACTTATCAACCTTTGATGGAGATGGCATCCTGGGAGCTGACAAAGAAGTAGACTGATTACTCGCCACGTGCAAGTTGTTTGCAAACATGGGTTATGCTTGGATATACATTAGGTTGAAACATAACCATTAAGATGCATTCTAGTTGAATTAGATTGAGAAGAGGGAAAGGAGACAAAGTAGTACCATACAGACAACAGGGATGCAAAGAACTAAACATTCAATTTCTGGGTATACATGACTTTTGCTGAGATTTTGTATCACAATTTTAATGCCACATTACTTTGGTAATGTGTTTTGAATACAATTTCTGTTTTCTGCCATAAGGGATAATATTTAAACTACTATTCCAATTCAAAATCTTGAAAATAGGGCTATCTACTCAGATGAGTATCAGTTTTAAACTTCTCAACTAAGTCAGCAAAAACAACACTAATTCCACTAGCTGAATGAAGTACTGCTGAATGTGAGAAGGCGCAATTTGTAAACACTGTTGCACTCATAACAACTATTTCTTCTTACTACACATTACATTTAAAAGCATTAAATATCAGGTTCTGTGTAATCACAATAGATTTGCAATAAATGCCCAAATAACAAAAACTGAACAAATGCAAATAAATTCCATTCCATTTTAAAATAACATCACTCAATTTAAGTAAAGTACATGTTTTGTTTGAAATATGACACTGGGGAGAGATTTATAAATCCCATGGACCACCAGAAAGACAGCAAGTCAGTTCTAGAGCAAATCAAGTCTAAACTCCCCCAGAAGCAAAAATGACTAAACATTATATATGTTAGGTCCATCATGAGAAGACTCATTGGATAAGACAATAACACTGGAAAAAGTTGAAAGCAACAGGAAAAGAGAAAGATGAAATAAGAAATGGACTCAATGAACGAATCTATCACCTTACATTTGCAAGAACTGAACAGGGCCACTGACTACAGGAATTCCTAGAGGTCACTAATTCACAGGGTTGCCATTAAGTTAGAAGCAATGCAATGTTACATACCATCAACGACAACATATTTGTATGCTTATTCATTGAATACCTTGCAGTGAAGGATCTCAAAATGTGCACTACTGTTTTACACACACGTTTTAGATACTGGAAACCAGATCAAGCTTGCTTTGCATTTTAGAAATATTTCATGGTCTCAGCAACACAGAACACACTAGGCGGGATAGAAATAAAATAAATAAANTATCTCAGCAACACAGAACACATTCTCTTCAGATATTAAGGTAAAGGTAAAGGTTTCCCTTGACAATTTCTCCAGTCATGGCCGACTCTAGGCGGCGGTGCTCACCTCCATTTCCAACCCATAGAGCTAGCGTTTTGTCTGCAGACAATCCTCCGTGGTCACGTGGCCAGCGTAACTAGACATAATTATCCCACCTGGACACTCATACACAGAATGACACATAAGTGACACCTCTCCCCCAGTTCCTTTCTTGCCCCCTGGTGCAAGAGAGAAATGAACACATAAACTCCAAGATTCTGCCATTATCTCATGGAAAGTTCCCTGATATTTTAATAGTAAACTGATGCAAGATCCAACATTAATTAACAATAATCCCAAAGAAGAATATACAGGTATTGGGAATACCCCACTTTGGGCAAGGACATCTATGTATGGGTTAGAAGGACTCCAAGCCTCTGAAAACTTGTGGTTTCCCTCCGACTTTAGATGCTTGGGATATATGATTTTCATAATAATTTCTCAGAATTACCTCAATCCCAACAGCTGTACTCTTCAGCAAGTCTGGCACAGACCTTTTGACATACTAACAACAACTTGAAAACTCAGTGTTTCTCTGAATGATCCATCTCTGCTTACCAGTGTATCATAAAATAGAAAAGATAATACTTTTCAAATACTTGAAAGGTAGTCAGACAGAGGGGCAGGATCTGGTCTCAATCATCCAAGAGTGCAGGACAAATAATAATGGGCTCAAACTACAAGAAGCTGGACTGAGGTTGAATATCATGAAAAACATCCACTGCAGGACAAATAATCATTGGCTCAAACTTCAAGAAGCCGGACTGAGGTTGAATATCATGAAAAACATCTTAATTGTTAGAGCAGTACAATGATGGAATCAATTACCTCAGGAGGAAGTGAGTGCTCCAATGCTGGAGGCATTGAAGAGAAAATTTTAGACAACCATATGCCAAATCTGGTTTAATTTGGATTCCTGCACCGAGCAGGGGATTGGACTTGATGGTCTTACAGGTCCACTAACTTATTCCATGATTCTATGAAATAAACTAAGGAAATGAAGGTGAGATGTAAAAAGAAAACAAACTAGCTAAAAACCAATTTGAAACTCAGAAGTTTACCTCAGATTGTAAATGCTGGATCACAAGAGCAAATGCTTCAATTTTCTGATTACTGCTTGCCAAGCATGTCTTCAGTTGCTGGATAATTCTACTTTGGTTTTCATATTTTCTTTTGCTTTCTGTCAATTGCTGTTTTTCTCCTGGTGACTGCACTTCAACAGTTTTGCAACTTTGTACACAAGAAGTCTTCGGCCTCTTCGGCTTATCTTTACCATCAACTGCTAAAAAAGAACAAAGTATGACTCTGAATGTTATGAATACAATATAAAGAAAACTACTATCAAGTCATTCCCTGACAAAGTTATGGTTTTGAGCATTGTTTTGACATTTGCAATAAGCAAAGTACTGTTGACACCCTTCAAAACGAAAACATTTTATTATGTATGTGTGGCAGATTATCAGCATATAAAAATCTTCCACTGTCACTTTTTGTAATAAATAGTTAGGTTTATTATGCTAGCATAATTTAGTTATATCATGTTTTCACATTATTTCCACCACTGGAATGCCTTTCTGATATAGTACTTGTTAGTTCTGTAGGCATAAATAATGTAAACTGAACAATGCATTTCATTGCCGCTGCAATACTGCAGACAAACAAAGCATAAAATCTGCACAATAGTAACTTTATTAACATTTCAACGTTCTTAGTAAGAGTTATAATTACAATTGAACACTCATTTCCTCCGATAGTTACAAAGTATGTCCTTTATCTCTCTTGTTCTCTGGTGTTGCTTAGATTTGTACTGAAAAAACACAAACCTTGAAGTTATTGTACCCCTCCACTCCATTAAACAGTATTACTCCATTACTGTTAAATAATATATAAGAAGATAGAAGCCAGGATAAAGACAATGGGTCCCTTCCTTCAATCCCATGCAATAAAGACTGCTTGATGTTTTCATCATGATGCTTATTAACAGACAATTTTGAAGTGTACATTGAACATATCAAAGATACAGCTTTTCTGATGCTTAGCACCACTGCTGACCATAGAAACTGTTTATCATGAAATCTTATCTTGTTCATTTTTGCCAATGACGGATTGCCAATATTACTTTATCATAAAATACAGTGATGCAGGCAGGTATCTTACGCAAAAATTATGCTTTGACAGAAGGGAAGAAATTCTTCAGAACACTGCATATTTGTAACATATATACACAAGACACAGAGCTGTATGAGATCTGAACAACTATTTTTTCAATTTTATACACTTGTCCGCTTGAAATGCCCATGCTTGAAATGCCCATGAGGAAGAATGAGGGAATTGCCTTGGATGTTAGAATATCAGGGACAGCAAATTTGCTGCTCTCCTCTACCCCTGCTGCTCCACTGTCACTTCTTTTTCCTTCTGGCCTAGCCTGACTCGGCCTGGCCCATTATGCACACAGCTGCTTCCCGGTCTTCCTTATCTTTGTTCCCTTTTTAAGGAAGGGGGGGGGAGCCAACTCCAGTATCTCTGCCCAGCTTGTCGTAGTTGTTCATGCAAGATATAGAAGATGTTCAGGTTGCTACTCCCAGTGTTCTGATAGTTTGAAGGCTGTAGGGCCTTCTCCGAGAGCCAGGGAAGGACCATGTAGCACCAGTTGAGTAACCTGCCTTTCACTGCTACCAATAATTGACATGATCTAGGCTGGAAAAAAGGTGGCTTGTTTGGCTTAAGCTTGAGGAAGACTCCTTGTACTATAGTACACCATGGTGTACCATGGCATTACCTGTTGGGATCAGTGAAATCACTTGTGGCCGTGTTATGGCTCCCTCCTCCTCTAGCAGGCATGTGTACAGCTGCTGATGCTGCAATCTCTTCCTCTAGCAAGGAGAATGGGAGTGTGATGGTGCGGACAGCTCTTAACCTCCCAACTCAGGCAATGGGAGCTTTTGGCAGCATAAGCCACTGTAGGTCCTTTTTTTAAGGACAAATGTGGGGTAAAGTATTTTAAATAAATAAATAACTTTCAGAATAAAATTTAGACTTGATAGATTTGCATATCCAAGCATAGCATAAAATCTTTAAATTAGGCATGGCAAGCAGACTTGATAGCAATGAGTAAATATGTTACCAGGGGTATGTTGCTAGTCTCTATCCAAGTAAGAATGTCAAATCGGTCTTTCTGTGTTGTTTAAGATTAGACAGTCTTAACCTGGGTGATACTTAATAAGCCCATCACTACAAATGGATTATCTGTCTTTTGTAAGTAGCTAATCTTGGGTACCTTTGAGCTACTTTAAGAACTGACCAACTCATTCTTAAAAGAGTAACATTGCTTTGGGTTCTACATTCACATCAACTGCATAAGGTAAGCCATCTGTGATTTCATCTTGGAACATTTCACTGTTAAAATACACACAGTCTCCCCCAAAGAACGCTGCTCATTTTAGATTCATAAACTTGGATCTTATATCCTGTGATAAATGAATAATGTACAGTATAATATAAAAAAGTATTGAGTGGCTAGTCAAAAGTAGAACTCAAAAAGCATGCACTGTTTTGCATTCTGAGCATCACTAGAATTTAAAACACTTGCTTATATATGTGAGAAGTGCTCCTCCTCCAGAAACCTGTTGAAATATACAAATTATTTCAGTTTACTCTAGAATAAGTTTTTTTAAGAATAAACTTGGTTCTTAAGAAGTAAAATAAAATGTAATTTCACATTCCCCACTTCAATTATACCTATAAATTAGGTTAATCAAAGACAAGAAAATAACAAAAGCTAAATATAAGGCCAATAAATATAAACAGATACATTAAGTAAATAAAATAAGACAAATTATCTATAAATCTTACTGAAATCCAGAAAACTTATCAAGTTTAGTTCTGGAATCATTTGAAGCTGCTGTAATGGTCACAAGTAAGAAACAGAATACCTAGTAAAAATCTAGTGTCCTCTGCCCCTTAACAGACAAAGTTTATCTACTCATCTTGATACACCACGGTGGTCCTACTGTGAATCAGAAAGTGCATGACAATAAAAAACATTGGAGGATCTGAAGATGAATAAATCACTGCTAGAATGTTGGAAGTTCAACAGCACTAACAGCAGTGCTAGTCACAGCTTGTGTTATTCCATTTCTTGTGGTATTATCATTGTGTTCTGCACCTCCTCCTTTATAGCAATGTAGTTCTTCATCACACATGCTAAGCCTGGATTTGAAATTTTATCAAGCCTTGTAGCCAGAAACTAGGGTACTACTGTGAGTTAGAAATGCTACTTCAAAAGCAAAGCAGGTAATAAAATGGTTTAGTGTGCAAAGCCAAACAGAAATATTATTCTGATTCACTCAGTGGGTCTTCTTTAGTTGGGATTAACAACTGATGTAACCAATTAGTCCTAACAGATATGTTATAAACTACTTTGTTTCCCCCAAAATAAGACAGGGTCTTATATAAATTTTTGCTCCAAAAAACCCCATTAGGGCTTATTTTCAGGGGAGTTTTTTTCTCAAGTACAACAATCTACATTTATTCAAATACAGTCATGTCATCTTCTGGTTGCTGCACAATGGTGGAGGGCGGGGTTATGCTTAACCGGGGCTTATTTTTGGGGTAGGAATTATATTACGAGCATCCTGAAAAATCATACTAGGGCTTACTTTCAGGTTAGGTCTTATTTTCAGGGAAACAGGGTATTATTTATATCTCTGTGCACCCATGTTAGAATTAGTTCACATAAAATCACAGCATGTTGTACTAGACATCACAACTAGAACTGATTAATTACACACTGTTCGCAGAACTATCAGTTTTATGTCATTAATGTGTAGCTGTTTGTGATTAAAAATCCTAACCTATGATGCTAATTGATCCCAGCCTCTTCAGAAGACAGAACTGTTCAGATGGATTTTTTCAGAGGGTCTGCAGAAAGGCGCAGAACAGGAAAAAATATCTATATTTCAGTCTTCAGTATTCTTTCCCCCAGAAAAACTGAGAACAAGAGAGAGATGAATAACCACATGATATCTATTCAGGGCCAGAGGATTGAGCAAGGCTGTGGCCCTGGTAATTTACCATATTGTGGTGCTGGTGCACTCTTATCTCTCCCCACCACCAGTGCCAGTCATCTACCAATCAAAGTTACATAACATGATGCTGGGGCAGTCAATCCCCACTTCTATCCACTAGTGAAAAGAGACCTTTTTCAGCAATGCATTGCAACCTAGGGCTCCTTATTTTCATAATAAGGCACTTGGTTGAGAATAATGTCAGCACAGAAGAACAGTGGTAAATAAATAAATAAATAAATAAAATAAAAATATTAGTTGGGTTTTGAGTTGCAGAACAAGAAATGTCTAAATACCAACACCTGCCAGTAATGTTCAAGTCCTCCCACCTCCACCTCAATGTTTGAGAAACACTAGGCTACAATCCTACAATAAGGACTAGGACAACAGAATGATGTGGTCCGATAAGACAATTTTGGAGAGCAATCTAAATATTTTATTTACTTGATCCTAATGGAATGTTAGCTGTCACTCTGGTCACTGCAACATGATAAATCATTACCTGACAATGTGATATTTCTGTTACAACACTAAGATCTATGAATTTGACCTGCTACCACCCCATCCACTTCCAAATTTGGCACATATTGCACTTGTGGTGAATATAAAATTTGTTCCCTTTCAGAATTTTAAAAAGGTGTCTCAAGTCATATTTACTCTTAAAAGTTCTTGTTTCAAGCACATTGCAAATAGATGTAAACATGATCTCCGGCAAGAGAGCTCCAGAGACCAGGATCTTCTATTTACATTTCTCCTGCATTTTCACATTGTTTCTTTGATCTTTTCTCTTACCAGAGAAAATCTGTTAAGGAAAAAAAATACAACAGTTGCAGAATCCCTTTTAATTATGAACAGCCGAATTGCTCAGGTCAAGAAGAATCCTAAAATGCTTGGGCACTGATTAATGACCATTGCTCTGTTTTCTGAAGATGTGTATTCTGGGCTGGAGGTATGTATTTGCTCAGGCTGAATCAACAGCATCATTCTAAAGCCAAGACAAAAATGTAAACCACCATTATGCCAGTGCAAATGCTTTGTGTTTTTTCTTAATAAGATCTGGTTCCTCAACTTATTATCAGATTTGGCAATGTATCAAGTAGAAAATCATTTTATGTAGTACAGTAATATGCATTTCAAACACATTCACATCATCAAGACATGTGATGTTTGAACTATTCCTCATGTCCCAAGACATGTTTGCCTAATGCATCTTACA